GTAGGGAGCGTCCGCAGCCCCTCGGGGGTAAGCCGCCTTTCCAAAACCTGCACCGGTCGAAAAGTATTGGAAGGGCTCACAGAGGAGGTGCAGGCATGTTTAGGGAGAAACTTGAGGAGAAGCGCTTCTGCAAACAGTCGGCAGGCAACTTAGCTCTTCTCTAGCGAAGCTATGTTTTACAAAGCATGGCCCAGTAACGTCTTCAATTGTGCTGTTACGAAAGCACAGATAAAAATGGAAAAAACCGCGGCTCTCCAGCCTGACGTTGCCGCCTAAGGCCACACTGCACAGACGGAAGTGTTTCTGTGAGTACTCCTTGCTGTTTGGGAGCGATGGATGCGCACAGCCACACAGTTAGCTGAGATAACTTTCTCTGAATCTCTAATTTCCAAGAAGTGCTGATATCAACTTTATATTAATTGGTGGACTCTTTCTGGTTTGCATATTCGCATTTTTTGGTGGTGGGGTTTGTTGGGGTTTTTTTTCAGTGCTGCAGGTGGCTGAAGGATTGAATGAAGTGGATGGGAGTGCCTGTTGGAGGCAGTGGGGGAAAAGCTGCTAAGGAATTGGGAGAAACACGGAAGTTTCACAAAGTGAGGTTGTGAATCAGCAGGATGGATGCGAACACTGAGAAGTCAGGGGTTAAAGGTTCTCAAAAATTTCTGTAGGGTGGAATGTGGCTTAATGCAAGGAAGCGTCTTTCGAGCCTCGTATACAGAAAGCCAGTTCCTCCAGCCCTTTGGTATGGGCAGTAAAAAAGAATCACCACTGTAGCTGAGGTGATTGATTATGAACATGGAGAAGTGATGTTAGGAGAGTATGTGCAATGATCCCTGAGTCTTTGAATGTTACTTAGCAACTGTTAAGAAAGAGTCAGCAGGGTATGACTAGCCAGGCATCCACAGACCACCACCAAATGCTGCATAGGCAGAATACAAGGTAACAATCAGGATAAACAGGTGGATTTTTAAAGAAAATATATTTTTTTTAAAAAGTGAAGCAAAGACTGATAGTGACATTCTTGTTTTTTCATAGCTTAGATGAAGAGACTGAGATGCACAGCTGGTAAGTATGGCTTAGAAATAAGTAGGAACCTTAGGAAATTTTAAAGTAAAATGTGCTAATCTTCTTCCTTGTTTAACCCCCCCCACCGCTTTTTGTCTTTCAGTTTCTTTCCTGATCTAGACTTGGCACTGTCATTGACCTCTTTGGTGTATCCATAGGCAATTTCTCGTCCCTTCGCTTTCCCATCTAAAATGGTTTCCTGCATCTTACAGGTAAATTTTAATTAACGCAGGCAAAAGGCCCTCCAGCCTTCGGAGAGAGTTTGAAGAAGTCTTGCCTGAATGTTTCTGAGCGTTGTTCTGCTTCTAGCTGCTCAGCATGTCGTGGCTGCTCCAGCTCTGCACGCTCTGACCATGAGCAGCAATTCTTCCCTCAGCAATGTGAAGGGCCTGAGGAACCTCACCACGCAGGATGACGGGGCGGTCAGAGTCACAGAGTCCATTGCTATAATCGTCATTGCTATTTTCATCTGTTTGGGCAACCTGGTGATTGTCGTCACTCTCTATCGGAAGTCTTACCTTCTCACGTTGAGCAACAAGTTTGTGTTCAGCCTGACCCTCTCCAACTTTCTGCTCTCTGTACTGGTGCTACCTTTTGTTGTCACCAGCTCCATCAGGCGGGAATGGATCTTCGGAGTTGTTTGGTGCAATTTCTCAGCCCTGCTCTACATGCTGATCAGCTCAGCCAGCATGCTTACTCTTGGACTCATAGCTATAGACCGGTAAGCAGCTCTTTTCTAATGAATGCTAATGAATTGCCTAGTTGTTTCATAGAGTGACTCGGCTGTTCGTAGAGTTGAGAAGCATTGCAGTGGATGATGCTGTGTACCGTTGTAATGTCATTTTTCTTTCAGCCCCTTGCAAAATTTTGATGTGGAAGAAAGGGATGTCATCAGTAATGCAAAATGTGGACATGCATCTAGAGTTTTTTAAAACTATCAATGGTACAATAACATAGTACTTGAGAAACAAGAAGTAATGACTTAAAATTCCAGGTTATACCCTGAGCACATACTGACATGTAGGGACAGATTTAATAGCTGCATGTGTGCTTCAGCCGTTTTACAATCTTGCCTGCAAAGATATGTATTTTTACATGTAATTATTTTTATAAAGAGGGTCCCTTGAGCCCACTTTGAGGTTTGGGGAAAAGAGCTTGCTCTGCAGAGAGGACTAGATACCAACATCATTGAAATATGTTCTTTTTTAATTGTACATCCTTTGTGCTCCTGTTGACTCTTTCTTTTCTTGTCCACCAGGTACTATGCTGTCCTTTACCCAATGGTTTACCCGATGAAGATAACAGGCAACAGAGCAGTGGTAGCTCTTGTGTATGTGTGGCTACATTCCCTTATTGGCTGCCTGCCTCCCCTCTTTGGCTGGTCGTCTTTGGAGTTTGACCAATTCAAGTGGATGTGTGTGGCGGCCTGGCATAAAGAGGCTGGCTACACCGCCTTTTGGCAGATCTGGTGCGCGTTGCTGCCTTTCATGGTCATGATGATCTGCTATGGATTCATATTCCGTGTGGCAAGGATTAAGGCCCGTAAAATCCACTGTGGTAGCGTCGTCATTGTGGAGGAGGACTCCCAGAGGAATGGGAGGAAAAACTCCAGCACCTCCACATCCTCTTCTGGCAGCAGAAGGAACGCTTTCCAAGGGGTTGTCTACTCAGCCAACCAGTGCAAAGCTTTCATAACCATCTTGGTTGTCATCGGTGCTTTTGTGATTACATGGGGGCCTTACATGGTAGTAATTACATCAGAGGCACTTTGGGGAAAAAATAGTATTTCCCCTGCCTTGGAGACATTAGCTACGTGGTTGTCCTTTTCCAGTGCCATTTGCCATCCACTAATTTATGGACTGTGGAACAAGACAGTGCGCAAGGAACTACTAGGAATGTGCTTTGGGGATCGATATTATCGCGAGTCCTTTGTTCAGCGGCATAGGACATCAAGGTTATTCAGTATTTCCAATAGGATCACAGGTAAGATGTGTGGCTGCAAAAGTCACTCTTCCTTAACACCAATAAGTAATGCTTAATATCTGTGTGTACTTGGCATGTCTCAGGGCTCTGTAAACAGTGGGTTGTTTCTGGAGAGTAAAACTATTTGATGTCTCCCCAAGTTGAAGGCCGAGAGCTTCAGTTGCTCAGAGTTTGGTCATTTTTGTTTTGTGGGGTTTTTTGTGTTTGTTTGTTGTTGTTTTAGGTTTTTGTTTGTTTTTTTTAAGTAGCAATGCAATGAAATTCTGATTTTTGATCACTTTCTTGGTCCTGTTCAGAAGCAAACTTCAAAAAAATAGGACATCTTTATAAGGTGCCTTGGGACATTTCAGGCAGAGGCAGGAATTGAAGTTATTTAATTGCAAAGGAAGATCTAAAACACAGAAGGCAGGGGAGAGCAGCAAGGCATCTTTTGTGTTTTCTGCAACCTGGAATTACTGGGAGAGACTCTATCTAAATTAAAGAGTTCTGCAGCTGCAGCCACATCATAAGCTGCAAGAACTCTCTAGCACTTCTTCCTCTGGCAAATCTGTATCAAGGAGATGCTATGAGTGAATACATTAGGAACTGAGGTGGGAGGGAAAAGACGGGACATTTCTTTCTCCTTCCAAGTGACAAGAAGCTGACAGCTTTAGGTTTGTCAGGTGGCTGATGGGGAGGGAAAAAAAAAAACAACGAAGTAAAACCCAACAAAATCTTTGAGCAGGATTCAAAGACAGCACCTTTGTAGGAATCCTAGAATGCCCTCCCTTCCTGTTTTGGGGATTTGAAAGAAGCCAGGCATCTTGGTGTCCCAACTTTGCTCGTGAGCTTCCTGCCACACTAATGGCCTGTCACAGCAGCTGGTGGCTATCAGGTCATTCCTTGGCTAGAAGGTGTCTGGCAAATATCCCCATCTGTCTGAGTGCATATGCTCTGTGTTCAGCCTGGCTGGCTGATAAAATTAATGTAATTGCAGAAGGAGTGGGAGGGAGATGGTGCAGATAGAACTCCAGGGATACCTGAAAGGTGTTGACTGGATTTCGAAGATTGAAAGTCCAGATGCTGTGCACCCTGGATCAGCAGGGCAAGTTTTATATATAGAAGAGTAAATAAGGCAGTAGAGTGGGAAGAGGTTTTTACTATTGTGAAGCCCTTAAACATTCACTGTGTAATGGGAATTAAACTCTCTTACAGATTTGGGACTATCTCCTCATCTCACCGCCCTCATGGCAGGGGGCCGGCCATTAGGAAACAGCAGCAGCACAGGAGACACAGGTTTCAGCTGCTCACAGGATTCAGGTAACTAAAAGTCTCTTGCTCTCTTTTCTTGGGCAGAAGATTGCACTTGTAACTTGGCAGAACTCTCTGGGATAGCCTGTATTTACACACAGATGTCTTTTGGTAGATGGATGACATGAAGCATCTGTTCCAGCTGTACAAGAAAACTGCTGCAGTTGCTTTTTTTCCTTCCTTGCTCTCAATATATTTACTTGCAAAATATTGTTTACTCTAAGGAATGATGACCCTTCCTTGATAATGTGTCCTGGGAACAAACTCGCTGGTTTTGTGCCCTTCTTTAATTTCTATCGTTCTTCAGGGACGTTCCCTGTATCCACAAGGAACATATCAACAAAGTGCTGTGGAGAACATACTTATCTGTTTCCTAGTTTGTAAGAGACCTTGTCTTGTTCATCCTGCAGTGTAAACATAAACACTTTGGATGGTTTCAGCTTATGATTGCATCACTACTTAAGATCTCTCAGCTGAAGCTGGTTTGGAAAAGGGAGAAAGACTTCTGCTGGTAATATTCTATGCAGAACTGTAGCTAGATTTTTCTGGCAGTTAATTCAGCTACCACTCCTTAACTGCGCTGGTTATTTTAAAGAGTATTTCTGCTCTAGAGACACCAGAGGGTGATCTTCTGACGTTCGCTTGGTACTAGAGGTTTGTTTGTTACATTCATGAAGGAAGTCTATGGAGCTGTGATTTATTTTGGTATTTGTTTTATGCTGGTAGTTTTATGGCTGTTGTGGGTATTTTGCAGCTGTTTGGGATAAAAGAGAATAGCATCCTGGTAAACCTGCCTGAGTTAAGAGGATGTTGTGTTATCATCTTTTGAGGAATGGTACTGAGCAGTTCAAACAAACAAACCAACCAAATACACACCTAATGCTGTTTAAAGTGCCACTGTTTGTTATGGAGGGCATACCATCCACAGCCTGGGAATGTATACACAGCGACCACCCTTGTGAAGTACTGTTTCATGGGATGTCTTTACCGTGAGGAACTAAAGACCAGGAACTAAAGTCTTAGTCTTTGTCTTCAGTGCTGCCTGCTGCAGTATGTGATGCTGTGGTAACTTTGTCTGCCCTGGTAAACAGAAGCTGGGCTTTTCATGTTGTGAAAAACAGATGAAGTAGTAGGAGAGGAAAAAATCCAAGTCGTGCTGGCTGTATGCAAAATATTGAAGTGGGACACCAGAGTCCTGACTGCTAGAAGTGCTGCCTTAATATCAGTTATTCTGGGGACAAAGATCTGCCCTGTAAGAATAAGAAGCTAGTCTCTTCACTAGCCTTATTTGAAAAAATGCACTGAACTAGTACATTTGAAAAAATGGACTACAATTTTGGTCCATGGAAGAAAGTAATTCTTTCTTCCTGGTCCCTCTCTTCCATTGCACACTGTTTCTGGGGTGGATTCTGTACCCTTGGAGATCAGTCAGAGTCTACTGTTTTCAGTAGACATCCTCAAACCCGGCTGATCCACAGAACAGAAAGTTGTTAGCTTATTTGGGACTGTGTATTAGGGCAGCAGCTCATTCTCTTGTGTGCTGGAGGGAGGTGTGTGACAGAACACACAAGTTTCACCTTAAAAAGTTTATCATTTTGTTATATCACAGTGAATTGTCAGCAAAGAGTAGACCTATGGAGCGGTCTGTTATCTAGAGGTATGCCCCCAGCCATGCCATTTGTCTCACTTTCTGTAAAACGGCCACTGGGACTTCTTATTGCAAAAAGAATAAATTTGAGGATCAAAAAGTGGTCAAGTGGGTGAAGAGGGATTTGAAGCCACCATCTGGAGCAGTTATGAAACCTGTGAAGGCTCTTTGTCCTAGGCCTGTTGTCACACCACAGGAGTAAATGGACTGAAACTGTCACGTATCGAGTGCGCGCAAGCTATGTCTTCCTACGGCAGCTTCCCTGAGGACTGCTTACTCAGCACTGTCCTAGCGTCTCCCTGAAATGCTTGCTCTGCTTCTCCCTTACACAGCAGAGAGACCAGCATTGCGAGGGAGGACTAGGCTGCAGTCTTGCCCTTTTTTGTGAAAGTATTGCAGAGATGCTTAGACAAATTTCCTTGTGCTTGTAAACTCTATTTTATATTGGAAAGGTGCAAAGAAAATGCAGGGAGGTGAAATAGAAAAATTACTCCTACACTGAAAAAAACCCGACTCATCAGATGAAAATAATTCCTAACCAGCAAGGGCTTTTCCCCCATTAAAATACACTTCAAGAAAGTCAAAATAGGTTACTGGAGACAAATTAAATTGAATAGAAAAATTATCCAGTTCAGTTTTCCATCCAGGTCTGATTACAAGCATGACATTTGGCAGCTATGGTTGTCTGCCTCTCCAGTAGCCATTGTTAGCCTCTAGTCTTCATGAGGAGATGGGAAAGTTACCCTCAACTTCACTCTTTATTTACTGAAGGTAAGGTTTCACCTTTGTCTGCTGTCCTATTCACATTATAAGCTCTGTAGCTGAGCATTTTGGATCTGCTCGAGGTTTTAGATGGCTAATGAGAAAAGATTTCCCAGTCCCTTCAATGAAAACTCCGACCTCATTCTTTTTCTGTGCAGCGTTTAATTCAAGCTGAAATTTACTCACAAAAGCTGCGTTTAGACATCTTTTGAAGGTACTACTATAGAATGAAAAGGTTTTGCCACCACTTACAATATTGTATCCCAGTATTAAGTCTGTTTTGCTTGAGAACTCTTGCTTTGTTCCAGGAACAGATGCAATGCTTCTTGAAGATTATAGCTCAGATGGCCCTCATGCCCCACACTGCATCTGTCCCCCTCGAAGAAGGAGTTCAGTGACGTTTGAAGATGAAGTAGAGCAAATTAAAGGTGGGTTTAGGGGTAAGTATGGAAATGCTCAGAACAAACTATACTGCCTGCTCAGGAAACCTCCCAGGACCTTCAGAATTGCCTTAAAACATGTGTGACAACAGATCTGACATATTTGTTCACCTTGACATACCTGACCACTCATGCAGGTACAGCGGAAAGTAAGATCAGGCCTTTCTTTCAGTTTTCAAGTAGCAACAGACAAGCACAAGAGTGAGAAGCTGGGATTCCTTGCATATACATCATTCATGTTGCACAGCAGTATCCTCTCTGCCACTGCACTCGTCTGGTGGCTGTTGCAGCCTGTTTTCTGTTTCTCAAGGAGTACGTTTTTCCTGTCCTCATACTTTGATTCCATTATCCCAGTGTTTCTCATTTGCTGCCTCCTCTCAAGTTTGTCATTCTCAGACTTGAAATTCTTCCATTTACAGACTTTAACTGCTTGAATATAATGTCTTTCTGTCTCACTGTTTTTAATCAACTTTTACTTCATTTACTTTACTATGTTTCTCAGCAGATATGGGTGAAAATAGATCAACACGTGCACTTTTTTCCCCAGTTTACTCACTTGATGATTTTGTGCTAGCAAAGTGTTGCTGTGATCATCTGTAAAATATGGCAAAGTTACATTATCAGTTTAATGTAAGCTGATGGTTACGATAATATGGACTAGAAGACTTGATAATAACTGAATTTACTAAAGAATAAATTATTGTGGGCAGTACAAAAATGAGCAGAATGCCTTTAAGAATCAAGTAATAATAAAACCTGACTGATTTTTGTGATTCTGAAATAATGAGAAAACTCTTTCTGTGGAATTTTCTTGTCCAACATCTTAGTAAAATTCACTCTTGCCCTCTTCCCAGCATGAGCTGATTATTTTCTTGGACAAATACATTACCATATGTTTCCCATTATCTTTCTGAGTGATTTTGTAGGGGCAGGCATCTTTTTTTCAGTAAAGTTAAAGAGGGAGGTCTTAGTGCAAAAGTTCCCCACAGGTTTAGCAATTCTCCCTGGTATGTCTCAGGGGTTTCAGGATCTCTTAAGATTTTAAATTATTTCAGCAACCTCACTGAAGGATTACATTTGGATGAACACCTGTGTTGCCCAACGTGTTGGTGCACAGAGAAGTATATATATGCTACAAAAGCAACTACATCAACACTGAATAGCAGGTGTATCCAAGGTAATAAAAGGTTAGGAAGAAGCGTACTACTGTCTACAACCGCAGTTTTCAACCTCTCCTGGCACAGAGAGCTCTACAGTTTCCCCACTGGAAGTGGGTCCCACAGTGTGGCTTGAACCACTTTAAACCGAAGGACAGTAGACTGCTGATTTTAGTCACTACTTGGAAGAAGCCCATGGAATTTGGGGGCTGTTAATCCATAAATACAACGTCTGGTGTTTGCTGGGCTTAAAATATGTTATAAATTAGCTCTTAAACTGCACTGTTCATGTCAATGAAGTGTGAGATTTTAGTCCAAACTCACTTTGAGTCCCTGTAAGGCTGTAAGTCGTACTTACAGCAGAGGAAGTACAAATTGAGGGTTCTGTTCCTGTCTTCTGCATGAATTCTTGCCTGATGCCAGACAATTCCCATTGTCCCTAATCCTGAACTCTTGGTAGTAAGCAGAAACCAGGCTGTTGACTTCAGTTGGGTACAAATCCAGACCAATAAAATCCTCTGTGCATAGAGTCAGGTTCAGAAAATTATTCAACAGACACTTAACTCAAAGTTAAACATATGTGTATAAGCACGTTGCTTCATTAGATCTTTTTTTTCTTCACTTGAATTGGAGGTAATCTTTCTCTGTTTGACCTGTCGAGGTCACTGTGAAGCTTTGTGTTCATAGAATGGTTTAGAAACCCTGGGTATCGTTAGTAAATGCACTAAGGTAGTTGTTATTTTGCAGAGGGCATGATCATACCTTTACAAAAGGATCAATATTAGTCTTCAAGCATTTGCGCAGCCATGTTGATCAACTGTTAATTTTCTGATATGCATTTTTTTTCTTTTTCAGAAGCTGCAAAGAATTCTGTTCTTCATGTAAAAGCCGAAGTCCATAAATCTCTGGACAGCTATGCATCCAGTTTAGCAAGAGCTATTGAAGCTGATGTGAAAATCAGTTTGTTTGGGGAAGATGCTTTACCAGGAGCTCTGTTCCCTATGCGGACTCTTCCAGGGAGCAGTATGAACACACGGCGTGGCGTCAGGCCCCATGCTGGCCAAAGACTTCAGTTGCAGAGCATCGATGAAGGGAGTATTTGATAGGAGCACCGGAGTAAGAAAACAGAACAAAACCACTAAGCAGGACCTACTACAGCTGTTTCTTTTTTTCACAGAACCAGGACACCTTGTCTGGATGTTTTCAGTGTTTATTCAACACTTGAAACCAGCTGAATTCTGGTACTTGCAACAGCATTTTACAGCAGTATTTGTTTACTGGTTAGGGTGCTATGGACTTGTTTGTGCTATGTCTTAAATCTACCACACAGTGCACAGGAATGCAGGGTTTGGTTTCCTAAGTCTGTCAAATCTTGGGTTCGTTATTGGCCAAAGCTGATACAAGAATGAAAAAGGAAAAGCATGTGCAGTGTTTAATTCATTATTGCATTGATCCTTTTCTGACCACCGGAACAATCAGTTTATACCTGATAGCCGGAGTGCTCTGATAGGAGCTTCTGCATTGCATACTGCACACAGGCTTCCTGTCACAGGCTCCCAAATGATGGAGCCTGGACTTCACTAGGGGACAAAACCTGAACTTTTCAGACAGCTCATGCAGGTCATGGTCCTGCTTACTCTTGCTAGCGGATATTTCTGGCTGTTCAGCCATCAGAATGCTAGATCTGAAACTGGATTGTGCTTTGCTTCTGCATTATGACACACCAGCTTCTCTAGGTGTAATGGGTGGAAGCAGACCTGTGCTGGAAATGTCATGGAGACAGTATTTGAGGAAATCATCCATGCAGGGTTCTTAGTTTCTCCAAGAGCTTCATTCATTTCCCCTGTTTTGCTTTTACTGAAAGGGCACTCTATGGTAATCTTGACAGAACATAAGGTATTAACACTTGATAGTCAGGATTCATCTTTTCTAGAGAGAAAGGTTCTGAGTTTTTGTTGGTTTTTTTAGGGGAGGAGGTTGGTTTTGGTTTTTTTTTTAATCATGAGGGAACGTAGTATTTAAGCAATAGTTACCTCAGTGCGTATATTTCTTGGAGTATTAATTCATTAATCTTTAAAATTAAGAACATTTGGCACGTATATTGCACTTTGCATGCTCTTAAGCACTGTACGGACATTACCTTGTTAGGCCTGTGTGAGAGGGCTGATCAGCCCTGCTTGCCAAAGAAGGGGAACTTGCCAACAGTCAAGCTGCTGGCAATGGAACAAGATGCGAAGGTGGGAGGGTTTGTTATGAAAAGAGGGATGAGGTGGATCATAGGAGAATGCCTGGCTTGAGGAACCTTTCTGTGCCTTCTGGGGCTGGCCCCTTTCTTTGTTGGGGGTTACAGTCCTGCCTCACTGCTTATTACAAAAAGAGGGAGACGTAAGTGAATAGGGTAATATCTTGGGGGTGGGTGTCAGTGGCAAATGGACTTAAGGACCAAGGATTTGCATTTGCTTACTCTATGTCTGCTCCCCCTGACTCCGCCTTTCCCCAGCAGTGGTTTGTATGAGGTTTTTGCTGCAGATTGTTTGGAAATCAAGGACAGGATGTTTCCATCTGGGCAAAAACTGGGTGTACGCTTGTTAAATTATGGCTGTGTGTGACTTAGAGGTACAGAAGCAAACTTCTTGAGGCAGAGCCTCAGTCCAGTACTGTATTTAGACATCCTGTTTGTCTGTGTTCCCAACTCAGATATACTTTAGCACAAGCTTATGTCCATCTCTGGACAAAGCAGCTTGACTTTATGAACTAGCCTGAATTCCCATTACATTCCCATGTAAGATTTACTGCATGCTTAAAATTCAGTACACGGTTTGCTGATTAAGAGCAGGCTGTTAAAGCAAGAACACTTAAGCACCAGTAAGATGGCTGTTTGCATAATGCAGGAATGAAACGACTAATAGTATTGAGGTCCTCACTCCTGTCTCTTTTTTTTTTTTTTTTTTTTTTTGCTTCTAGTGTGTTAGATAAATTGGGACCTGTGGGCCCTCATAAAAAAATAATTAAAAATCCCAGTATTTGCCAGGAAATGCCCTGCACTGAGGTCGTTATTGCCATCTTAACATTACAATCACAGTTGCTCGTAGTACTCGGCACTCCTTAAGGTATACGCTTGCCTCAGGTGGCTTGAAATATTTTATCTGCATCCCTTTTATTTCATATTCCTGCTTCAAAACAAGCTGAGCAAAGTTGTTGCTGAATGTGAAAAGGACACGCGCTAGTATGAATGCATTGTGGTGGACTGAAGTTGGTGCTAGCCCAAAAGGGTGTATATTCAGGAGGAAAAATTCCTAAGGCACATGTGAAAGCACAAAATTGTTAGTACTGTGTAAAAAAGCACATTTTTCACGGAGGTACTGAGCCAAATTCAGCCTTCAGGCAGGTCAGTGGAGTTGCATCAATTTATACCCTGACTGAATTTGGCTGTCAGTGTTAATTTAGTGTAAATGTTGTTACTATTTTTGTACACACATTATAACCTTTCCCTAATTCTTTTATTACCAGAGTCATTATCTCACTTGAATTGTCTAAGAGAAGCAGTAATGAAGAAGATGCACACATTTTGTAAAACTGTATTCCCTGTCTTAAATACAAAAGGAAAAAAACCCCAATGATCTTCAGCTTCTAATGGTCCGTGGTATTTGTTTACGTTACTTCAACTTTTATTTTAAAATATTTTACTTTTAAGTGTATATTGGACTCAACGGCTGAAGCTGGCAGCAGCGGGCCCTGGAACGGTGTCCGCAGTCCCGGGAGGCATCCTGGGCTGCCTGTCGGTGCGCGGCTCTACCCGGGTACGTGACTCCAGCCGCACAGCCGTTCAATTAGGTAAAAAAACCAAAACAAAACGCAAAAGGTGGGTCAGGTGCTGCGTGGCACGATGCGGCTGCCTGAACACCACGCGTGACCGTGACTGACGAGGCGGCTCCAGCCCCCCCGGGCAGCGC